CACAGCGAGAGCCAGGAGTGCTGGGCACCGCCCTGCGCAGGTGGGTGTCCCGCCCCGACCCACACCCTGCCCCGGGGCTGCCCCACGTCCCATCCTGTGCCCGTCTTCTGCCCTGGGGCTGCCCCACGTCCCATCGCAGCCCCTCTGCCCTGCAATGGGGCTGCCCCACATCCCATCACAGCCCCTCTGCCCTGCAATGGGGCTGCCCCACATCCCATCACAGCCCCTCTGCCCTGCAATGGGGCTGCCCCACGTCCCATCCCGTGCCCTTCTTCTGCCCTGGGGCTGCCCCACATCCCATCACAGCCCCTCTGCCCTGCAATGGGGCTGCCCCACATCCCATCCTGTGCCCGTCTTCTGCCCTGGGGCTGCCCCACGTCCCATTGCAGCCCCTCTGCCCTGCCCCGGGGCTGCCCCACGTCCCATCCCGTGCCCTTCTTCTGCCCTGGGGCTGCCCCACATCCCATCGCAGCCCCTCTGCCCTGCAATGGGGCTGCCCCACATCCTATCCCATCTCCTGCTACTGCCCTGGGGCTGCCCCACATCCCATCGCGGCCTCTGCCCCTGCCAGGGGTGTCAGCCCCCACCCGCCCCTCTGTCCAGCCATGGGTCTGAGCCCTGTCCCTGTCCCCTCCCCTCCACCCTGGATCCGAGCCCATCCCCTGGCCGTATCCGTGGGTCTGACCCCCATCCCCATCCCTGTCCCCGCCCCTGCTGTGGGTCCCCTCTGCCACCCATGGTCTGAGCCCCATCCTCACCTCCTTCCCCAGGCCGTGGGTCTGACCCCCGCCCCATCCCTGCTGCCCCTCTCCCGTGGGGTCCCCATGCGGCGGGAGGTGACAGGCGCTGTGGGGCTCCCCATAGAGGTGACCATCCCCACGGAGGAGCTCCCCATGGAGGTGCTAGTCCCCACGGAGGAGCTCCCCATGGAGGTGACCGTCCCCATGGAGGAGCTCCCCATGGAGGTGACCGTCCCCACGGAGGAGCTCCCCATAGAGGTGACCATCCCCACGGAGGAGCTCCCCATAGAGGTGACCGTCCCCATGGAGGAGCTCCCCATAGATGTGACCGTCCCCACGGAGGAGCTCCCCATGGAGGTGACCGTCCCCATGGAGGAGCCAGACCCCGACACCCCAGGTGCGTCCCGGGGGGCCGGGGGGCAGCGTGGCCCGGGCGGCCCTGACGCGGCCGCCCCACAGATGGTGACGAGGGCTTCGGGCCCTGGTCGGGCTGGAGCCCCTGCTCCCGCAGCTGCAGCACCGCGGCGCTGCCGGCCACCAAGAGCCGCCGGCGCCACTGCAGCGCTGCCGCCTGCGCCGGGGCCGCCGTGCAGGAGCTGCCCTGCAACCTGCCCCACTGCAATGGTGAGCTATGAATTGCACTGCCCCACTGCACCGGGCTGCCCTGCAACCTGCCCCACTGCACGGGTGAGCTAGGCATTGCACTGCCCCACTGTACGGGTGAGTGCTGCCCTGCCCCTGCCCCTGCCCCACTGCACTGGGGTGCACTGCCCTGCAACCTGCCCCACTGCACTGGGTGCAGTGCACCCTGCCCCACTGCACCAGTGAGTGCTGCCCCACCCCTGCCCCACTGCACTGGGGTGCACTGCCCTGCCCCTGCCCCACTGCACTGGGGTGCAGTGCACCCTGCCCCACTGCACCAGTGAGTGCCGCCCTGCCCCTGCCCCATTGCACTGGGGTGCACTGCCACCTGCTCAACTGCACAGGGGTGCACTGCCCTGCAACCTGCCCCGTGGCCTGGGTAAGCGCTGCTTGGCCCCTGCCCCACATCATGGGTGGGAACAGGGTGGGAACGGGGCTGCCCCACCCCTGCACGCCACCCGTGTGGGGCGCGTGGGTGCCGCTGGGCGCCCCACACGTGCTGCCCGCAGCGTCGGCGCCGTGCCGCGGCGAGGAGGAGTGCGCGGCCGCGGACTGCGCCTGGACGCCCTGGGGGCCGTGGGGGCCCTGCTC